CGGGCTCGGAGCGGCTTGTGACTCACGCTTTGGCCCCGGCCCAGCCGGCGGGGTCGCCCGAGGCGGCGGCTCCGAACTCCGCGCCTGCTCGGGGGCCTCAGCCGTCTGCGGTAAGAGGGCGCGGGTGCAGGCTGGGACCGTGCGCGCAAGAGCAGGCTCGAGGTGCACGCGTGGTGGCGCCTGTGTGTCAGCTTGCCGGGGTGCACTTGAGCCCAGCGCCTGCGGGAGGGCTTGGAGACACCCGGAAACCCGCGCGGTCCTGCTCCGCGGACAGGGGGCAGGGGTGCAAGCCAGTCTCGCACCCACCTCCCCATTGGAGCATTGGAGAACCGGGAGCCTGGCCGGGGACGTGGGGCCCAGCCGCCTCCAGGAGCGCCCAGATGCCGGGAGGTAGAAGCTGGGCATGGGTCACCAATCGTCCATATCGGACACTGCTAATGGAACCATTGTCCGAGTCCCGATGTCCCCGCCTGTCCTTTCAGTTGGCCCTTGGAACCCTGCTCTGGGCTTCCAGCGGAGGCTGGAGCTCAGCTAAGAACCACAGAACTTTCTCCTCGTCCCCGGGGCACCCTCCAGGCACCCACTTGCCATGTCCTTTGTGGTGGGCAAGGAGCACGTACATTTTGACTGGCCTCTGAATGGGGAGGAGCCCCACTTGGCAGGAAATAAGGTCACCCCCAGCCTCTGAGGCCTCTGCTTGCTCCCTAGAGAAGCAAGACTCTTGAGGGTCCCAGGTGGCCTGGTGTCTGGTGGCTGAATCCCAAGGGGTCTCCCAAAGCCTGCAGGGCAAAGGGCACGAGTTGGGCTGAGCACAGGAGAGTAGGACTCCTGGGGCTGGGAGTGGATATGGAGTGAGGCTGAGGAAGAGGGGCGTGTTTGAGACCGGAGCCATGTTTAATGAATCCTGAGCTCCCCAAGGGCGCAGCACCCCCAAACCACGCCATGCCAGGATACAGGTGCTTATCTAGCACTGCTCCTGAACTGTGGCTGGGTCCTGCTGCCCCTCCTGCCTCCCCCAGGAACCCCTGAGGGTTGCATGCTGCCCAGATTTCTTTCTGGGAGCCCTGCCTGGCTTCCTTTCACATTCGGGCTGAGCTAAGAGAGGGCATCTGCCTCCTGCTACCCTGGCATTGTCCCCTCACTGGTCTTAATTCTGAGTCTCTGGCTGTCATTTGGCCACCATCCAGAAGGGAGGAGAGGGGCGGTCCTTACTTGCTGGTGACAGAAACCTGTGACACTTGGCCCTTGGCCTCATCGTAGCAAGATTGAGCTGATTCATCCTTTTGAAGCCACAGAAAGTCTTAGGGAATGGAGTGCGCACTGGGGGTGGGCTGGGGTAGAGGCTAGACAATCAGTGTGGCCACATGCAGCAGGCCCAATGGGACCCTTCATAGCCATTGAGCCTCTGTTGTGTTAAGGAATGCTCCCCCCTTGATCTCTCTGGGTCACCGTCAACCTCTGTTGGTCTTGGACGCTGTTTTCCTGTGGCCTTGCTTGGGGTCTGAGACTCTCTCCAGCACCAAGTTTGGGAAAGTACCATGGGAGTAGGGGCCAGTGAACACTCTGGGCTCTTGGGACCTCTTTCTCGGGCTCTTTCACGCACACACGCACACGTGCATGCACACACCTGCATACACATGCACACACATGTGCTTGCACGTGCACACGTACAGACACCCTACCCTGTTCCTTGAAATATGACGCTTGGGTTGGGCACAAGCTTTCCCCTTGCTCTGGGACCTTCCTGCTGGCACCACAGCCCCATCTGCTGGATGGCCTGGGTGCTGCTGCTGGGGCTTGCCAGGCACTAAGCCACCTCTCCTAGGGGGATGGATTACCCTACAGAGCCAGTCAGCATTGGTGCCAGGCCTAGGAACCTGGATTTGAGGCCTAGTTCCACCATTTTTTAAAAAGAAATTTGAACTTGTAGACAGTGCCTGGGTTCTGTGGCTTGGATTTTTTTTTAAAGATAGGGTCTTGCTTTGTAGCCCAGGCTACCTTGAGCTTGTGGGGATCTTCCTGCTTCAGCTTCCCGAATGCTGAGATTATTGGCGTGCAACACCACACTTTGTATCAACAAATGGTTTTACAGTTTAAACTAGAGTCAGAGCCGGGTATGGTGGCTCACGCCTGTAATCCCAGCACTCGGGAAGCTGAGGCAGGAGGATCACTATGAGTTCGAGGCCAGCCTAGGCTACAAAGTGAGCTCAAGGCCAACCTGAACTACATAGTGAGACCCTGTCTCAAAAAGACACACACACAAAAAAGAAAATAGAGTCAGAGCTAGGCATAGCTGCGCATGTCTATGATCCCAGCATTCAGGAGGCTGAGATAGGAAGATCACTATGAATCTGAGGCCAGCCTGGGGTACATAGTGAGTTCAGGCCAACCTAAAGTACATAGGTTGACCCTGTCTCAAACTCCCTCTCAAAAAATACAGTCAGAGACCCCCTCACATTTATGGCTTCTGGGTGCAGTCTAACCTGAGCCTGCTGAGTGCCAATTTGTCAGGGGGTGGTGAGCCAGAGAGCCTGGCCTGCAGCCTGTGTCTCACCCACTCCTGCTCACTGCCGGTTTTCTCTTCCCTAGGTCCACAGTGGAGCAGCAGGGGCCCTGGAGGGCTTGATACCTTCCCAGTGATGGCAGAGAAGCGGCCCCTGGGGAGCCTGGGGCCCATGATATATGGCAAATTGCCCCGCCTAGAAGCTGACTCAGGGTCTGGACATGGCCTGCCCCACTCTGCTAGCAGCCAGGACCCCTGCAGCTACAAGGGGGCCTACTTCTCCTGCCCTGTAGGGGGCACCTCCAAGGCAGGGCCAGAGCGGCTAACATCATGGAGCCCATATCCACCCTTGTACCCTACCAGCATGGCAGGACCCCCACTTCGGGCAGACAGCCTGCTGACCAACTGCCTGCTCTACCGGCCGCCGGCAGAAGGCTCTGAGAAGATGCAGGACTCGGGCCACGGGGAGCTCTTGCCTTTTGGGCCCCAGGCTCACGCATACCCGGCCCCGCCGTTGGCAGCACCCAAGCCTGTCTACCGCAGCCCCCTGTGCTATGGGTTGCCCACTTGCCTGGGTGAGGGGTCAGCGAAGAGGCCTTTGGATGTTGACTGGACCTTGGTGCCCGGGGCCCTGTTGCCTTCAGCTGAGCCTCCCTGTTCCTTGGCCCCTGCTCCCACCAAGGGCCAGTCCCTGGATGGTACCTTCTTGCGTGGGGTGCCAGCTGGCGGACCTGGCAAAGACGTCTCCCTAGGCTTCTCCCCATGCCAGGCATTCTTGGACAAATACCGGGCCGTCCACAGCACAGGCTTCCTGGCCCCCAAGTATACAGCTCCTTACTCTGGGGACCCCAAGCAGGCAGTGTCAGAAGGGCCCTCCAGTCCATGGGGGCCACCCTTCCAGGAGACAGTGCCCACCCACTACCCGCTGCCACCCCTCCCGCCAGCCCTGCCCTGCCCCTCAGCCTGCCGTCACCCAGAGAAGCCGGGCAGTTACAGCTCTGTCCTCCCACTGCAGCCCCTGGGAGCCCACAAGGGGACCAGGTACCAGGCTGGCGGGCTGAGCAGTGCCTACCTGAAGCAGCAGACAGCCCAGACCCCCTACATTCCCCCGTCGGGGCTGGATACTTATTCCTACCCTTCTGCCCCCCTCCCGGCCCCCTCACCCGGCCTCAAGTTGGAGCCTCCTCTTGCCCCGCGGTGTCCACTGGACTTTGCCCCCCAGACTCTAGGTTTTCCATATGCCCGGGATGACCTCTCTCTCTATGGAGCATCTCCGGGCCTGGGAGGTGCACCACCTCCCCAGAACAGCGTGCAACCTGTGCCACAGCCCGGTGCCTTCCAGCGGGTGTGCCAGCCTCTGCCAGCTAGCCGCCCATGCTCAGAGCCCGCGAGGCCTGCAGAGAAGCCAGCACAGGAAGCCGAGGAGAAGATGTGGCTGCCCGACTGCAGGAAGGAGCAGCCTCAGCCCCAGTGTGATGAGCACCCCAGGGGGCCCATCGTTATTCGGGACAGCCCTGATCCCCGCACCTCACCGGCACTGCACGCGTGTGCCCAGGAGCCCCGGTCTCTCCCACAGAAGGAGAGCGCCCGGCCGCCCAGCTCTCCGCCAATGCCTGTCATCGACAACGTCTTCAGCCTGGCCCCCTATCGTGACTACTTGGATGCACAGACCCCCGAGGCCACAGCTGAGCCAGCCAAAGCCACAGCCAACAGTGAGAGCCAAGATGAGGGCTGCAGGGGGGCACTGCCTACCCCAGAGGGCTCCTCAGGGCCGAGCTGCCTGCTCCGCGAGGAGGTGGCCCTGGACTTGAGTGTGAAGAAGTCCCTGGCAGAGGCTATCCCTGTCAAGTCCCCTGGTCCCGCAGTGCATACCAACCCCGCTGCAGCTATGGATGGGACAGCCGTGGAGACCACGGTGTCGGGTTTGCCAGCCCTGAAAAAGATGGTCACGGAAGTATCCGGGATACCAGTGACCATGGAGGCCACGCCAAGGACCAGCTTCCCAGAAGCACCCGGAATACCAGTGACTGCTACAGAGGCTGTACCAAGGACCAGCTTCCATAGCTCTGTAGCTTTCATGTTCCGGAAATTCAAGATCCTCCGTCCAACACCGTTACCTGCAGCTGTGGACCCGTCTACACCCACCCCACCTCCAGTCCCCCCACAGCCCACCGTGCCCACCCCGCCACCTGTACCCATGGGACTGCAGCTTCTCACCCAGCCCTTGCCGGTGGCTTGCTTCAACCTGGCCCTGCCCAGTCCTCCGGCCATCGCTGTCGCCTCCCCAGCCCCTGCCCCCACTCCATCCCCTGCCCCTGCCCCCGCCCCCACCCCGTCCCCAGTTTCTACAGCGGACCCAGCAGACTGTACTGAGCAGCACTTTACAGGGCTCCACACATCCCTGTGTGATGCCATCTCGGGCTCCGTGGCCCACTCCCCACCTGAGAAGCTGCGTGAGTGGCTGGAGATGGCTGGGCCGTGGGGCCAGGCCGCGTGGCAGGACTGCCAGGCTGTACAGGGGCTGCTGGGCAGGCTGCTGTCCCAGCTGCAGAGGTTCGTGTGCACGCAGCAGTGCCCCTTCCCTCACGTGGTGCGGGCCGGTGCCATCTTCGTGCCCATCCACCTGGTGAAGGAGCGGCTTTTCCCACGGCTGCCACCCACCTCAGTGGACCAGGTGCTGCAGGAGCACCGTGTGGAGCTGCGGCCCACCACGCTGTCGGAGGAGCGCGCGCTGCGGGAGCATGCCCTGCACGGCTGCACCTCGCGCATGCTGAAGCTGCTGGCCCTGCGCCAGTTGCCCGACCTCTACCCTGACCTGCTGGGCCTGCAGTGGCGCGACTGCATCCGCCGCCAGCTGGGTGAGCATGGGCAGCCCCAGTAGCCACCAGAGCTGTGTGACGAGTGTCAGGTGTGTGCATGGTGTGAGTGGGTCCCAGCGGGTGGCTCACTCGAGGAACTCCTGCCAGGGTGGCCTCTGGGAACCCCTGTCCCTCTAGACCTTCCAGAATCAGCGAGTGTTCTGTATGGGAACCTTCCTGGCACTCCCTGGGGTGCAGGCTTCTCCTTTGCTGTCCTGGGGCTTGGCTGTGGCCTGTCTTCTACCTGATATCCTTTCCCCTGTCTTTGTATACCCCAGCCTACCCTCTCCTGAGCCAGAGCTCCAGATAAGCGACTTCCCGCTGGACTCTGGTGCCTGGTGCCTCTCCACCCAGGGCACACTCCCGGCTTCTCACGGCTCCCTTGCACCCCTGGTCTTCTGCATCCCAGTGAGGGGTGACCGTCCCCAGCACTTGCACACACACACTATCCCACAGGAGTCTGAGCACGGTGTGTGGTTTGCTTTCCCTGCACTAAGTGACGCACAGCACCCGTTCTTGGCTGGCTTTCCTTATGCCCGCGTGGTCACACAGTGGCTGTGGTGTTGCATAGCGTGGACACTCAGGTCCTTCAGGCCGACCTTGGGTGAAGGTGGCCTTAGTGTGTCCATCCTCAAGGTCCTGTGCCCCTCTGCTGCCCTGGCCCAGCCTGTGGCCAGCTGTTTCCCTGCAAAACCAGCCATCCTCCCCTGCTAGTGGCCTTGCCCTGGGCCCTCTGCCTGGTCAGAGTGGGCAGGGTCCAGGTGGTATGTGCCGATCGGGTCTGGCTGACCAGCACTCCTGACCTGGACTCTTCAGGCAGGAATCTCAGTGAGATGGGGCGCCTGCTCCGTGAGTCTTATGCCCTGTTCCACTCCATCCCTGAGCCATGGTGCCCCTAGAGAACACTCCTGTTTCTTGGATTCCCTGTTCCCTGTGGCAGCGCACTCCCTGGAGTGCGCTGGGCTCATAGCCGGGCCCCCTGCTATCCTTGTCCCTCATCCTTTGGCATCCCCTTGAGGGCAGTCCCGGGTGGCTCTTGATGGGTCCTGGGGCTGGTATAGCAGGATAATGTTTCTCACATATGGCAGGGCTCATGTGTGCCTCAGTTTCCCTACCTGCACAGTAGGTTTGGGCTCGGTCAGTGGTTCCTGACTTGGACACATTCCTGCTTGTCCTAGGTCCCAAGCAGCTTTTCCTGCCTGGGCCCTCATCTAATGGGTTCTAGTGTTCACCAGGAGAACCAGGGCTTGGGATAAGGGCCATCTCACTATCTGTGCCATCCTGGCTGGTGGCTCTGGAAGCTGAGAGGTGGTGTGTGGGGTCTATAATAACCTGACTGTTCATTTTCCAGGTGACCTTGAGACCAAAGCTGGAACCATGTCCCTCTCCGAGCCCACTGTGTCCAGAGATGAGCCAGAGGGTCCAGCGCTGGCTCGGAAGTCACCAGCCCCCAAGGTCAGGAGACCTGGGAAGAAGCCACCAGGAAGCCCTGGCCCAGAAAAGACAGAGGCACCTGTGGAGGGAGCATCTCGGGGCTCCTCCCCTGCCCGTGCTGCTAGTGCCAGCCCACCGGGCCACACCCTCAGGGCCCGCTTCCGCACCCTGCTGGAAACTGCCTGGCTCAATGGCCTGGCACTGCCCACGTGGGGCCATAAGGCATCTGGACCTGACCGGGCCCCACCCTGCCCACAGCTGCTGGGTGGCCAGAGCCAACCCCTGTAGTGCTGCTCATGAGTGCTGTTGTGATGCCACCTGATCTGTGTACCTGTCCTGTGAGCGTCCTCAGCCCTCACTGGGCCACCAGCTGAGCTGTGAGCTCTGAGCTCCTGAGCCGAAGGTCTTTACCGGAAGGGACTCCTTGCTTCCCCACCACCACCGGTGACCTGGGCAGAAGCTCCACTTCTCTCTACAGTCCTCATTTCTTGTTTGTAACATAGGACAGCACAGCCTACCTCGAAGGGTTGTGGGGTGATATGACACCCATGTATTGGGAATCTCTTGCCCTGGCCCTGGACGGGCCCTCCTTGACCTCTGCCAGGGCCTGGAGTAAGAGGCAGAGGCAGCAGCACCTCCCTGTCTCAAACGGCACCTTGTACAAATGGCTCACACTTTTCCGCAGCGCTGCAGCAGGGACACAGCCCAACCTGGTGCCAGCGTCTTTCTGGGCCTGCCACCCCTGCTGCAGGAGGCCCCAGGCCAACCCCCAGTTGATGGTGACTTCATGAGCTGCCTCCCCAACCCCAGGCCTTAGCCTGAGAACATTTTATTTTTCTCAATCTGCCAGGCAGCTGCAGGGACTCAAGGACCCAGAGCTGAGTGGCAGCTGAGTCTCTGGAGATCTGGCCTGAGGGACCTGGTCCTCCCCGAGTCACAGCACTGTCAGCCAGGTCTGCTGTGGCCACTGCCCTGCAGGGTGCTGGCCTGAGCTGTAGGCTGGCAGCTGGACCCTTGGCCTTAGTTAAGGGTTTGAGAGACACTTGGGGGCTGGGTTATTAAAACATTTGAGTGGTTTTGGAGCTGGGACCTGGCTGTGTGTTTGAGGGGTTGTGGGCTCGGGAGTCTCCACAGGGTCTGGCCACCATGCATCTGACAACCCAGTGACAAATAGTGGTCACACCCATGCCGGACTTCCAGGACTGAGGATGGGTCTACCAGTCTGGAACTGTGCCCTCCTGTAGATGCCCTCCCTGTGGGTCCTGCGCCCAAGCAGCAGCAGTGGCTGTCTGCAGGATGCTCTCTGGACCACATACTCTGGCCGGCGCCAGGGCTTTGCACACCTGTTTGGGTTCATGTGAGCAAGGCTGGGACTTGGAGGGGCAGGTGCTTGAGGCTGAGTGGCCCGAGTCCTCTTCTGACCACACTGCTTCCTCCTGGGTCATGTCCCCTCCGCCTATGCCCACTGATGACAGCATAAACTAATGTCTAGAACTAAAAGCAGTTTCTTTTTTCTTTTTCTTTCTTTCTTTCTTTTTTTTTTTTTT